CAGTCATTCTCTCAGCATTACGAACGGACAAGCAATTTAGAATTGCGAAGCAAAATGTCATGTTTCAACATATAGTGGGCTTTCCTTTCAGAATTAAGTGACACAACGCTAACTGTAAAGCAGCAGCACGGGCATCTCTACTGGTCCGCTGCACCTTGAAGGAACCCAGTTGAGTTCATACTGTGCACGGAAATAAATACGTTTTCATCCCTGGGACATAAATAAAAAATTCTCTCTCTCTCCCGTTATGTTTGCATGATCCAGCTGTAAGGAATGCTGTCATATACATTTAATCAATACCACTATTACCAACTTTTATTACATTTTTTTATGCACGTATCGATCTTCCGCTGTATCAGTTATTGTTAACTACTGGTCCTGTGGTTCTTCTTCTGCCTTTTTAATAATTCATTAGGCATCAAGTATGTCATGGGAAGTACAATGTGTATATAAGTGTGTGTGTGTGTGTGTGTGTGTGTGTGTGTGTGTGTGTGTGTGTGTGTATTTGTGTGTCTGTGTGGGTGAAGGCTTCGGTTCGGCTCTAATCAAAGAACAGGGAGCAAAGTGCTGCCTGGAGAGCAGTGAAGCATGACAACACACACCTGGTAAGCTGCTTATCACACTTTAATTTCACCTACACTGAGGTCTGCGGATGCCAGCGTGACCAAACAGATGTGTGCAAATGTGTTTGTGTGTGTGATCATGTACATACGTGTGTGTGTGTGTACGAACAGTTGTGTTTGAAGTAGAACAAAGATAAAGGGAGTGATAAACGCAGAGAGAGAAAAGAGAGTGCAGATTAAATGGAGGGAGAGATATCAACGACAGAGAACAAAAGGAAAAGATAAGGGAGGAAATACAGCAGCAGTAGGATTGGGAGAGATAGAGCGATAGATGAGAGGGGGGAGGGAGATGTGAGGTTAAAATCTGAACAGCCCGGGAGGGGAGAGTGGCCTTAGAGAGACTGGGGAAGGATGGAGATTAGGATAAAGGAAGGATGGGTTTTTGTATGAATGATTACTGTAAATGTTGTGTTATCAGGAGTACAAAATATAGCTGTTCCCCTTTTACTAAAATATAGACAAACTGTCAACAATATATAAGCTAAATCATTTTAAAGTGGCCAACACTAAAACAATTCACAAGTTTACTACTAAGTCATTACAAAAACAGCATGTCAAATGACTTATGCCGTAATAATGAGAAATACAACTGCATAGTAAATATGAAAGACGAGATCAAAATGAAGATTCTTTATGCAAACGTTCCCCTCACCATCCCCCTGTCTCCACTCTTTTTACAGCTCTGGAACCAGTCACAACGAATTTGTTGACGAGAGGCTGAGCCCTGACCTCTGACCTTGGACACACGCCGTCGGCCTACTGCCACCAACCCTGTCTACCAATAAGACAATAGCCCGTGGTACAGCATATAGTCCTATGTGTCCAATGTAAATCATGTATGTAGATGTGATTAAAGAATATATAAATGACATGGCCACAACTGCTTAATGGCTATTTACTTGCTTATTTGTCCTGTTCACGCATTTAGCAATATCAGTCGTGCTTTTTTTAAGCATCCACAAGGTAAAACCAAACATTTATAGGAGTATATTTTTACCTGGCTGAATATTTTCCTCATTGTTCACATTTGGTGCAAATTTCCAAGTGCAAATTAGCACTGATATGCGACGGCTCAACACGAGCTCTTTCGTGTGGATGCGACACAGGGGAAATCTCCGTAGCACATCTAATACACCAAAACATCTGTGTGCTACAGTGGGACTTGCTAGTGGTTCCACTGTTCAATGTCTGCCACTGTGACTAATATAATGTAACTCTCTCCCTCTCTTCATCCCATGCTCCCTCTGTGCTTCTCGTTCCCTCTCTGTGTCCAAATTAAACACAAGGCGCAGGAAACTCTGATAAGGCCATCTGTTCATCTCTCTCTCTCTCTCTCTCTCTCCCTCAATCCCTCTATCCTTTGCCTCATTTTCCAATCTGACAGCCGACTGCCCCCGCTGAAGCTAGCGGGGGACATTCGAGGTATAGTTTCTCTGCAACTCTCTCTGTTTGCCTTCCTTGCTTTCATTCCTCTACTGGCTGGATGGACCCGTTAAATCAGCGTTAAATCCCATCAGTGAGTGACAGACAGACGCAGCAAGAGCACCATGTAGCATTGGACTTGTCACCAAACTTTTGAATTGCTTGGCCATGGTGTGAGGATACAGCTCTATTAAAGCTGTACGAGGTGCCTGACGTTCCATCAGTATCCGCAATTAAGAGCAAATCCCGAGATTCCAGACTACAATATACCCGCACACATGCGCACACACACCTCGGCCCCTCCTTTGCCCCACGGTGAGCCCGGGATCTGACTATGAAAATGAGTTTGTGAGAAACTAATCATGCAGCTTAACAAGTGGAGCCGGGGAAGAAGGGGGGGGGGGGGGGGGGGGGGGTGGGGGGTGAAATGGTCAAAAGGGTCAACTAATCAAGAGGAGGGGAAATGAGATGAGGGGTAGAGGAACTCTGTGAGAGAGAGAGAGAGAGAGAGAGAGAGAGAGAGAGAGAGAGAGAGAGGGACTGACGTTGAGAGGACTTAGAAGAAGGGTTACCATAAATAACTGTGAAATGAGAATCCGAGGAGGAAGCGTGAGCGTGCAGTGAGGGGGAAAAAAAGGAGTAAAAGACAGCAGGAAGGGAAAAGCGGGGATGAAAGAGGGATGCCATGAAGAGATTTTAGAGAGGGAAAAGGAGCGAGCGCTGAAAAGGGTTGAGGGTAGGGAAGAGAACATTCTGTAATATTCTACTGGTGCAGAGAAACTGGGGGACGTGAGGGGAGGAGTTGAACAGAGGACAGATGGGATTTGAGGGAGAAAGAAAAATAAGGAGAGAAAATGGAAAACATGGAGAGAAAAATAGAAAGGAGGAATAAGGAAGAGATGAAAAAGCAATTCTTGGGGAAAGAAAAGAATTAGACAATGGGAGGATGTTTGAAAAGGAGAGAGAGAAAATCGTCTGAAGTCATTTCTAAATCCTGTCAAAGGAGGCCATAGATAGGGAGGGGGAGGATGACACACACAGACAGGTAGTGGAAAGTGATAGCAAAGCTAAACCGAAACGAAATAATGCCTTGGAATTATTTGGAGAAATAAGATTTAGATTCATCTTTTGTGAAACTCAAGCAATAGTCAACATACCGGAGTTGTTTGTTTGTGGGAATGCGTCAGGACATATTTGTGAGGGATTTTAATAAAGGGAAGGAAAAACTGTGTATACATATAGCTTATATTTCTTCATCAACCAATTCACTGCACTCAGATAAACAGGCTGTAAATAAGGTCTTCAATGAAGCATTTTTCATATTCTTGAGAGTAAGACTTTTGGCTCAAAGTACAGCCAGAAAATCTGTTCCATATCCACCTCAAGGGGAAGGCAGGACACTCTAAATGGAGGAAGGCCACATGCGGAAACAGTGATGTTGCTCATTGCCAGTCAAGGCTTATTAAAAAGCCCAGCACACGACAGCCACACCCTCAATTCAGCACGTCTTCCTCAGGGTTTGTGGTGATTCTGATTGTTTCGTGCCGGCTCTTAAGTAAATCTGTACTGCTAATGAGCATCCTCCCTGCAAATGTTTCCTCCGCGTGTCCAGATTATTCATCGTAATTTATCTGAAAATTCACTGCAGCTGTGACGAGCCGATTTTTCGATGTCATCAACAGGAAAGGCTAATAGTAAAAAGAAAAAAAAAAAAACAGTGGCGAGGGTGAGAGGAATGAGTCATGAGTCAAAGGACAAACGGCAGCACGAGAGGGAGGAACGAGACATATAGCAGACAGCGGAGAGGTGATTTTCACAAGAGAGGTCAGACTCCTTAGCAGAGCCCTAATTGGATTAATGTCATAACATGCTGTGTTCGTACGTGTGAGTGTGTATGTACAGAGGCATTTCCAAGCTGCATGAATACAACATGTATGTCTGTGTGCAGGGATTTGTGTTTGTGTGAGAACATTTCCCCTCCCCCAAAAAGCCTTTTCTTCAGGCTCTCCTCCGACTATTTTCTCAAAGAGATCTTATCAACACCCCGGCTTGCAGAGAAGGTGCAGGAGCTGAAATTCCGATTAGTGGCTGAGCAACGGTAAGATAGTAAGAACGGCTCAGCGACGGTGAAGGTGCATTCACTATTCTGTTATAACTGCTGCAAATCAGAGTTTAGATAAGGCTGGGGAAATGTCATCTCTACAAAAAAAAAACGTCCCATACTTTGATATACTCTCTCTCTTGGCTGGGGAGTAGTGCACACTACTTTTGGTGTAAAAAAAAAAATGCAGAATCTTCCAAAACAGCCACTGTAAAAATCCGTTTTCAACTGCAGCGGAAACCAGGTCAGAGAGAGAAAAAGAGAGAGAGAGGGAGTGACAGAGAGGTACGGCCTACGAGACAGACACATATCTCGCACGGTGGCCCATCCATAATGAACAGTGTCCTATACCGCTGCCCGGCCGCAGCGCACCATCCCTCAACAAGAGAGACCGAGGGAGACCGGGACGAGACAAAGGGGAATGGCCACATTAATTACACACACTCTCTAGGCGGGAGCTATCACCGGAGGCTAACGGGGAGGCCGACAGAGAGATGGAGAGACAGAGAGAGAGAGACAGAGAAATGGAGATGATTATGCTCACAGAGTACCCTACGTGTCTCCGGTGAGAGGGAGTGTTTGTCCTTCGCAGCAAGACGCCTGCTGGCTGCTGAGTTATGTCACAGTGTTACTAATGGGAGCTGAACCTCCAGCAGAACAGACACACGCTGATCTGAGGCCACTCGTGTGTGTGTGTGTGTGTATACAAGGTAGCGTCTGTGCATGTAGGTGGGGGGGGGAAGGGGCTCTTTTGATATGAGTGTATGTGCAAGGTTGTGTTTATTACTGCATAAGCGTGAAGTGTGTGCTGTTTTGGGGATGTGTGTGTGTGTGTGTCTGTGATGTGCACTTACCCCTGGTAGCGTTTTCTGCTCGTGTAGAGCGCTCTGGGCTTTCAGCGCCGACTCTCTCGCACAGTACGTCAGAAACGCACATCCTGTCAGACAGAGAGAGAGAGAGAGGAAGAAGGGAAAGGAGTACAGGTAGAAAAGGTCAGCGAGCAGCTCTAATATCTGTCAGTCTCTGTATCACCCTCTACCAAAACACACACAGCCACACCATTTAAATCATTTAAATGTCTCCTTTTCTGATGCCTTCCCTGAGTATATGTCACCTACTCTGATTGATCACGAGGCAAACTGCGAGACCATTAAAAAAACATATATATATATATATATATATGTATATATATATACATATATATATACATATATTTGAATTCATGCACTGTAATTAAACTTGACAACACCATGATGATGCACTCTAGAGCAGAGAAGGACACTCCACGGCACGGCACATTGCAGAACGGAACGGCACGAGTCAGCACACATGACAGCACCACAGACGTGTGTGTGTGTGTGTGTGGGGCTAACAAGGCCTCACAGGCTGGGCACAGTCAGGTTTCCTGCCACTAAAACCAACCACTATATGCATGCCTCACGATCACTCCAAATACACTCCCTCTGTTGTCCTATGTGCTGTACCTGTGTCTGTGTGTGTGAGAGGGAGGGGTAGGTAGCAGAGCTGGCTGGCCAGAGCTGTTTACTACACCTGTCACCAGCACTAAGACAACAAGATTAGCAGCAGGTTAGCATTCCGGCGGCATCTCAAGACAGACTAACGTATATAGATTCAAAGTAAAGAAGAGAAGATTCGACGATTAGGATGGAAACATTCGCACATGAGTGGACATATGTCTGAAGAACAGAGAGTGACTCAACATAATGACTCACACACACACACACACACACACACACACA